GGTATAGCTTAAAGCATCAGTAAGCTAAAATAGCAATATAGCTATAGCAAGCCGTATAGCTCGTAGAGCCGACAGCAGATGCCTTCTGAGACCACCTTAGACCACCTTAACTCTATAAACTCTAAAATACAATTCACAATGGAGTTAGAGGCAAATAATTCTTTAGCTTTCCTAGATGTTTTAGTCATTCGAAATCCTGATAACACTATTGGTCACACTGTGTATAGAAAAAAGACCCATACCAACCGATATTTAAATGGTGAATCTCACCATCATCCTTCACAGTTAGCTACCGTGGGTAATCTTTGTTTCAGAGAGCACGAGGGATCTGTGACAGAAAACATCTGGCCGCCGAACTTCAGCATGTCAAGCAGGTGTTGCAAGACAACAAGCTTCAGATACCGCGCCTACGTCACAGTGACCGAGTGAAGCCGGCCACAGTCGAGCGTGTGCATGCTGTACTACCATATGTCAGAGGAGTCACAGACAAGGTTGGCTACATCTTGAAGCGAGCTTCCATTAAAACATACTACAAGCCGCCGAAGAAGATTAGTCAATTTTTACCATCCGTCAAGTGTAATATCCCTCTACAAGATGCAGGAGTGTACAAGTTAGATTGTGAATGTGGTCTCTTTTACATAGGTCAAACAAAAAGATCCATAAAAACCCGCGTGAAAGAACATATAGCTGACGTGAAGCACCGACGCTCCGGGAAGTCTGCAGTCTGTGAACATGTTCAGGATCGTCCCCACCATTACATCAGATTTGATAAACCACAAGTCCTCGCAAAAGAACACCGATTCCTACCAAGGATGATACGTGAGGCTATTGAAATTAAAAAAACATCCTAATTTCAATAGAGAATCCTATAATTAACAAAATTAAACCCAAACTCAAGCATACCACTGCAAGACTTCATGATACTGTAAGTTCGTTTTGCGTAAATCGGACCAAAAATTAATATTCAAAAACTGAAGGTAGCCGGGCTAACAATGACATTGGGACGTCAAACATCTCAGTCCTCCCCGTGACCATGGGTGCTGTAAAGCACCCGAAACGTCGGGATAATAATAAAAATAAATTAAAGTAATTAAACGCGATAAAATCCGTAAATAATAGTTTTATTCAAGATGCCTTCTGTTTTATTTTTCTCCGTAATCTATTACGACACGACACCCATGGGATGATGAGGATAGTAGACTTTTTACGCTGCCTCTACCCGGCAAAGTTATAAGTAACTAACTGTTCTGGCACTTGCTAATTTCCAAAAAACAAATAGAGATTTTTAACTTTAAATTTCATTGTCATTGCTCAAGTGTTAAGAGTATTGATAAAATAAATAACAAACTTGCTTTATCTTAAAGTCGCTCAGCGAGCACATAACAGTGGTAGAGCCACGCGGCAGCTTTGCTGTCGCACGTATGGGCCGGCTCAAACCGGGGTGGTGCCACGACCTCACAGAATATCGGCGTGAAGTGGAAGCTCTGCTTCCGCGTTTCGTCTGGTGAGTGCAGGTGGCCGGAGGCCCAAAGCCCCCCCCCCCCCATCAACATGGTAGCGGAATTAAATGATAGACTACCCCAGGAGGGTACCAGCACCCCTGGAGAATCCCTCGCTGAGCATCCACGACCATGTTTCTCCACTTCTGAGCGTGGGTGCTCAGGCTGCCCCGCGTATTCTGGGGGGGGCAATATTCCGCTCAAGACTAAAACTGCTCGGGGCAAACGGAGCAACAAGACCAAGGCGACCCCTGCCACGCTGTCCGTGAATTTCTGCAATATCAGGGGACTTCACTCTAACCTAAACGCCGTCCACTACCATCTCGAGACGGCGAGGCCGGCTCTGCTCTTTCTGACCGAGACGCAGGTGTCCTCTCCGGCTGATGTCTCGTATCTCTCCTGCCCGGGGTACAAACTGGAACACTCCTTTGTGCCTCGGGCTGGAGTTTGCGTTTACGTCAGAGAGGACATCTGTTCTCGACGCCTCGGCAGACTTGAAGGTTCGGACCTGTCCATCCTTTGGCTACGCGTAGATAGCGACGACCATCCGCGCGTCTACGGGTGCCTCTATAGGTCCCATAGCGGTAATGCCGAAACAGACCGACTCTTCGACCACGTCCAAATGGCTGCAGATTCGTTGCTACAGCAGATCCCCTCCGCAGAGATCGTGATCCTCGGCGACTTCAACGCCCATCACGCCGAATGGCTCGGTTCACGTTTAACCGATCATGCGGGGAGATCTGTTCATGATTTTGCCTTGGCATATGGTCTGACACAACTGGTTACTTCGCCTACGCGGATTCCAGATGTGGAGGATCATGCACCTTCCCTGTTGGACCTTCTGCTGACCTCTCACCCGGATGGATATCAGATTTCCGTCGACGCCTCTTTAGGCTCCTCGGACCATTGTCTTGTCCGGAGTGTGGTGCCACTCACGCTGAAATCGCGGTTGCATTCTGCAGGCTGCCGCCGTGTTTGGCACTATAGGTCAGCCGATTGGGATGGGATGCGGTCTTTCTTTGCATCCTACCCTTGGGGGCGGGTTTGCTTCTCGCCGGATGATCCCAACGTTGTTGCGGATTCTGTCGCTGATGTGGTACTTCAGGGTATGGAACTTTTTATTCCTTCCTCTGTGGTGCCCATTGGAGGCAAATCTCAGCCATGGTTTCGTCGCTCCTGTAAAATAGCATCATGCTATAAGCAGGAGTGCTACCAAGCCTGGGCTGACGCATCAGCGTCCAGGGATGTAAACACCAGCGCTCTAAAAAAGAAGTATAATTCCGCCTCTAGGTCCTTCAAAAGAGTCATTGCCAAGGCAAAGTCAGAGCACATAGGCAGAATTGGCGAGAGACTAGTTCGTCTTCCTTCTGGAACCCGTGCATTCTGGTCTCTCGCCAAGGCTGTCCAGGGGAATTTCTGTCAGCCATCTCTTCCATCTCTGCACAGGGAGGACGACTCACTGGCCCACACCGCAAAGGAGAAAGCCGATCTTCTAGGCTCTTTCTTTGCGTCTAACTCGACTCTCGATGACGGGGGGAGTACGCCGCCGACCATCCCGCGGTGTGAGTGCTCCATGCCGGAAGTGCACTTCACTCAGCGCTCGGTTCGCAAAGCACTCCTCTCCCTGGACATCCATAAGTCGAGTGGGCCTGATGGAATCCCCCCAATTGTGCTGAGGACGTGTGCTCCAGAGTTGGCACCGGTTTTAACGCGTCTTTTCCGGTACTCCTACTCCCTAGGCGTAGTCCCAAAATCATGGAAGACGGCTTTCGTCCACCCGATCCCTAAAAAAGGCGACCGCTCAGACCCGTCCAACTACCGGCCTATCGCCATCACCTCCTTGTTCTCCAAAACAATGGAGTCCATTGTAAACTGCCAGCTCGGCGGAGGCAGTAGAGTCCAAGGGGGAGGCATTGGCCGTTAGTTTGGACATTGCGAAGGCCTTCGATCGGGTTTGGCACAAAGCGCTTCTTTCGAAGCTCCCTTCCTATGGGCTTCCCGAGAAATTGTGCGATTGGATCACCAGTTTTCTTGCAGATCGGAGCATCAAGGTCGTTGTAGACGGTGCAAGCTCCGATTGCAAGCTTATTAATGCTGGTGTTCCACAGGGCTGCGTGCTATCGCCAACGCTGTTTCTTCTGCATATCAATGATATGTTGCAAACCCGTAGCATTCATTGCTATGCAGATGACAGCACTGGTGATGCTCTTTACACCGGCCGAGCAAATATTTCTCGGGAAAACGTCTCTGAGTGCCGGGACAAACTTGTGTCTGAAGTCGAGTCTCTGCTGGACAGAGTCTCGGATTGGGGGCGACTAAATCTAGTCCAGTTTAACCCCCAGAAGACACAAGTTTGCGCGTTAACCGCTAAAAAGAACCCCTTTGTCGTATCCCCTCAGTTTCAAGGCACTCCCCTTGTTGCCTCAGCCAGTATCGGAATCCTCGGCGTCGACATATCGAGTGACGTGCAGTTTCGTGGTCACTTGGAAGGGAAGGCCAAATTGGCCTCTAAAAAGCTTGGCGTGCTCAGCAGAGCGGGACAGTATTTCATGCCGGCACACCGCCTGCAACTTTACAAGGCGCAGGTTCGGCCGCTCATGGAATACTGTTCCCATCTCTGGGCTGGGGCTCCCCAGTACCAGCTCCTTCCACTTGACCGCATCCAGCGCAGAGCGGCTCGAATCGTCGACGACCGAGTGCTTTCCGATCGGCTCGATTCACTGGCGCTGCGAAGAGATGTTGCGTCTCTTTGCGTATTTTATCGCATCTATCACGGGGAGTGCTCTGAGGAATTGTTCGGATTAATCCCAGCCGCCAAATTTCGTGAACGCACTACACGGCAAACGTCCCGATACCATCCACACCATCTGGATGCTTGGCGGTCCACCACTGTACGTTTCAAAAGGAGTTTTCTTCCGCGTACAACCTCTCTGTGGAATAATTTACCACCGGTGATTTTTCCGGACCGATACGACCTGGGGACCTTCAAGAAAAGAGCTTACTCCTTTCTAAAGGGCCGGCAACGCACCTGCAATTCCCCTGGTGTTGCGGTTGATCATGGGCGGCGGTAGTCACTTAACATCAGGTGAGCCACATGCTCGTTTGCCCCCTCTTCTATAAAAAAAAAAAAAGCTATGGAGAAGACTATGCTCGGGGTTTCTCTGCGTGATAAACTTAGAAATGAGGATATCCGCAGTAGAAACAGAGTGACCGACATAGCTCAACGGATTAGTAAACTGAAGTGGCAATGGGCCGACCACATAGCTCGAAGAGCCGACAAACGATGGGGAAAAACGGTCCTCAAGTGGCAGCCTCGAATCCGCAGGCGAAGTGTAGGACGTCCCCCCACTAGATGGAGTGACGACCTGGTAAGACATGCAAGAAGTCTATGGATGCAGGTGACTCAGGACCGTACTTAGTGGCATTCCTTGGGGGATGCCTTTGATCAGCAGTGGACCTGTGAAGGGCTATAATGATGATGACGATGATGCTTTATCTCACCTTCTAAACTATTATCCAAAGGTTCTTGACGCTTAATGCTACTACTCGGATCAGCAGTGTTCAGCGCCGGTTCGTCGTAAATGCTCTTCTGACCTGAGAATATATTAGAGATAATATTTTAAGTTATCGATTGCAAATAATTTAAAATATTATAGCGCCCACTTCCACATACATTTGTGTACCTAGCACAGATTTTTTAAACCTGCTGTAAATACCTGTTAAAACAAATAAATGCTTTTATCTGAAATATTAATTCATTCATTACAGTCTCCTATATTTTTATAGGATAATGGTAACAAACGAGCACACAGTCCACCTGGTCGTAAGTGGATGCTGTGGCCCATAGACATCTACATTTAACCTGGATTAAGAATCAAGATGCGTTGTCACCTTTGAGAGCTAAGATGGAATGCCTCGTTTCCAGTACAAAGTGTCTCCGTTTCTGCAAGTTCACAATACGAAACACAGCAGCATTAAGCTACTAATTTACGCTGGTATTCTGTGAGAGCGTGGTGCTTCCCCGGTCGAGCCGACCCAAGTCGACTTAACTTAACTGTAGAGTAGTATGAGACAGACTGACGTTATATCCCTGAAACTCTTCACCGCTGCATTGGAAGATGTTTTTAAACTACTGTACTGGAAATGACACTATAGAAATATCAATGGCGAGTACATGACTCACCTTCGATTTGCCTACGATATAGTTCTTATGGCAAAATCGCTGGAAGACCTAAGCACTAAGCTCAATGGCCTCAATAGGGCCCCCCCCCCCCAACGGATAGGCCTTAAAATGAACATGGATAAAACAAAGATCGTGTATAACGTGCATGTTACCTATGCCGGTAGTTGTTAGGAGCACTCAGCTCGAAGTTGTTGACGAGTATGTTTACGTGGGACAAATAGTCCGACTAAGTAAGCCCACCTTCGACAGGTTCAACTTGGCTGGGTAGCGTTTGAGAGATTACAACACATCGTCTCGTCAGGTATACCTCGTAACTTGAAAACAAGATTGTACTACCAGTGCGTATTGTCAGTGATACTTACGGATCAGAGACATGATCCCACTGACGGTATGAACAATCTCAAGGTCGCTCAGCGAGTTATGGAGAGGGTTTCGCTCGGGGTTTCTCTGATAAACTTAGAAATGAGGATAGCCGCAATAGAACCAGAGTAACCGACATAGACGAACGGATTAGTAAGTTGAAGTAGCAATGGGTCGGCCATATAACACGAAGAACCGATGGGGAAGTAAAGTTTTTGAGTGGCAGCCTCGTACCTGTAGGCGAAGTGTAGGGTGGCCTTCAACTAGGTGGAGTGACGACTTGGTAAGATATGCAAGAAGTCAATGAATGCAGTTGGCTCAGGACCGTGCTTTGTGGCATTCCTTGGGGGAGGCCTATGTTCAGCAGTGGACTTGTGAAGTGAAGTAATGATAATGACGATGAATAGTGATCATAGCTGGCGCTATACCTACACAATAAACAAGAAACAAAAGTTTTTACAATTGTTTTAATTGATATGGAATATGATAGGTGACAATATAACCATCTCATCAATGCCAGATGTAAAATACCCAGACTGGTGATGAGAAGCAACGTGCAGCGTCAAAGGTGCGATACGCCTAGTAGTGAACGTGCGTACGAAGTACGAAGCGTGAACTCATGACAGATGGATAGTCGATGCAGTGCTAAGGATTTGCCTTATTGTTCACATTCGATATCACTTAGGTCCAACAGTGACTTTTCCGGGCTGATGAAGAAGAAGAATGACCACTTTTTATTATATGTAAGTAGCAAACTAACAGTCTGCTAATGGTGAGTGGGTGTTGTAACGTACAATTTAAAATAAATTGCAGATGCATGTTATGTCACCCTTTGAGGACTAATATGGATGTCAAGGTACTAGCGCAGGATTTCCGATTTTCAATCGTAGGTACAATGTAGTTCCACTATTTTATTATATTTATTATACTTGCTGTCAAACCCTTGAAATTCAACAACACAACTGTGTATGATACTATTAGTTGATGCCAGGAAAGGTAAGTTGGAGGAAAAGTAGGTTGGTACCTTTCCAGACACAACCAAGGTTCTATCCAAAAGAAGCACTTCAACGCAGCTGTTTGCTGCCGTAAATAGACCTGGTAAGGTTTTGGCCGATACAATTTCTCCCTTGTCCCCCTTGCGGCTGGTAGCTATCCTTAGAAATTTCCCTCACGTAAAAAAATCTTTTAAATTGTTTTTACTGTTTTTTTTTTAAATAAATCACGCTGGGTTTTTCAGAAACAGTGGTAAATTATACAAAGGAGTGACTTTCAATAAGTATTGTTATAATCTATGTTAAATTAAAAAAAAGTTCTGTTTCCGTTTCTACCAAATAATTGTTTCGGGTCTGAATGAAATCCCAGTGCAATTTATGTATTTAAACCGCTTACGTTGATTAAAAATTTGCCATTGATAAAATGCAGTATCTAAAAATATATCTGTAACCTTTAATGGACCTAATTTAACTAACATCTTAGTGCCTTCTAGAGGCCACAAAGATACTATAGCAGTAATTAGAACAGCTGGTAAACATAACCGAGGAAATTAATGTACCGTTTCCTTTCCTTATCTGACGGTGGTACATTATCTCTTTTATTTTATCATCGTACTGATAAAAACCAAAATAATTTCATGATAGTGTAGTGTTTCGCTCTGTAGCGGATTCACGTGAAAACATTTAAACGACGTTGTCGTGATTATGGAAGAGTTTCTAGGAATTAAATATGAGTTTGTAGATTCAGAGAACTTTGAAGAATATTTAATATTTATTGGTAAGTTTTTTATTTTATTTTCTTCGATCATAAGTTTTTACCTGCAAGGATCACGATATGAGAAGTTGTATTACATTTTATCTAGTCCTTCACTTCGTGTTTCGCTAACAAAAGTACTTAGCATGCAAATTATAATTTTAAACCGTTCATGTGCTAGTTAGAATTAATAACTATAAAAATGTAGTAAATCAAAGAACCTTTTTGTCTTTAACCAATCATACAAATATTTCTTGAGATTATATCTTGCGCTTAATAATTAAAATTCTTTAGGTGTATTGTTATGTATTTTCATGCGAAGGTTAAGTCAAGTTTGTTACCATATTTTTAAAAAACAAAATCTAGTCAAATTTAATGAGTCTAGGAATAATATCTAGGACATAGACATAGCTCTCGGGTATACCTATATGTCACAGGTAAAATCAGGTTTTTGATTTAAAAAAACCTGGGCTTATGATCAAGAACTGGTAGACGACAAAGTCATTACTTAATCTAATTATTAACCCGAAAGAATCCTGTTTTTTGATAAAAAACCTGAATTTGTTTAGGTTTATGAAAAAAATTAAGGTTAGGTTTTGATAAAAAACCCAGATTGATTTAGTTTTATGATAAAATCAATGTCGGTTGCTTTTTGTTTTAAATAAATCAATTAGTTAACCTAACCTATATCAGCCTCAGCTTTAATCTTATCATAAACAAGTTCAGGTTTTTAATTTGAAAACATTGAAGGATTTTTCAGGTTAATGTCAAGTTGTAATTTGGTCTTCTTCCGGTTCTTGATCAAAAGTTCAAGACTTTTGACAAAAAAAAGATACAGATTTTGATGCGACACATATATCACTTGGTTTAATAAATAAACAATTACTTGTATTTAAAAATGAACACGACAATTTTATAAATATATAGTGACGTATATTACATATGCAGTGCTTATGTCTAGTGATATCCCACATACTTGTATTACACGAACGCATTTACAATTTAAGTAACTTTAAAAGATATTTTAAAATCGGTAAATAAACTATTATTATTATTATAATTATAAAATCAATTGTTTTTAGATAAAAAAGAAAAGTAAAAAGTTACTAAAGTAATTGTAAGTTGCAGTACCAGATCTGCTGCTGCCAGAACCTGTAAAGTCATGTGGCTAATATCACTTACTTGAGCACTTGTACCGTTGCACCTTGTCATTGATCTGGGTATTTTGCGTATGGCAATATATAGGTCTATTATTTCGATAATTTCGAAATCAATAAAAATGATGATTTTACGTACATTAAACTTAAAACTGTTAATAAATTTAGCTCTATATCAATATTAATCTTGTATAGACACGCCCCGCGTTAGGCACACCCTTGCTAGGATGTCTAGCAATAAAACAGCAATAAAACCTATTCTACAATTCCAGGAGTGGGATACATAGCGAGGAAAGCCGCACTAACACTTCATCCCACCCACTGTCTGACACTCAACGAAAACGGCACCTACACATTTAGCTTAAATTCAAGGCTGGTCAACTCCTCTGTCACATTCCGTCCGGGCGTCGAGTTCGATGAAGTGAAACCTGACGGAGTTAAGGTATCGACCTATGACATGTCACGTCAATTCCTATTTAATACTTTGCAAACAGTGAGGTAAAATTTATCAGCAATAAACGAGGCCGTTAAGAATATAAATAATAAGAATGTCTTACAGATTGAATTTCGGTTCGGGGGCTAGTCTCAACGGCGAAAACATCTGCTCAGGACAGAATTGTACTCCAAGAATATGCGCACCAATTCTGATACTGAGAATTTTTTACCCAGAAAACCTCAATAACTGATTTTGGCCCCACCTGGGATTCGTACCCGATCATACTCAGAAGTCGCATTTACGACAACTAGACCAACGTGTCATTCTTAAACGTGGTAGAGCCGTGCTGATGCTATATTAGTAGTATAGTTGTAGCACGAATGGGTCGGTTCGACTAGGGAAGGATAACGCTCTCACAGAATACCTGCGTAAAATAGTAGCTTAATGCTGCTGTGTTTCGTATGGTGAGTGTAGAGAACTTTTACTCAACTGAAATGACACATTCCACCTTAGTCTTTACGGATGACGATATAGGCCACAGCATCCACTTACCATCAGGTGGACTGTGTGCTCGTTTGTCACCATATCCTATAAAAAAGTCGTCTTAACGGCTACTCTCAACTATCAGTAAATATAGTAGGTTTTACATTTCAGTTTTTGAGAAATTTGTGAGTCATCAAAATGCAATCAATCAAAACGCAGATGCGTCATC